CTGAGGGTAAAATTTGTTTCCTTCAACCATCACTGTGATCAAATGTGGATCAGGGAGGGCTGCAAAGTACTCCATGGGGCTAAAACTATGGGAGGTGGAGGCATCAGTTACTAATATGTCTCTGGCTTTTACCAAATGACCATGTCTCCTAAAAGGAGCAGGCATTCTCAGGTACCTAAGGCCACACGAGGTCCAGGTGTGTCATTTTTCACTTACTAGAAAGTGAAAATTACCCAAAAGTTTATATCTAAGATTTTCAAAGACAAAAATATAGCTCCATTACTCATCTTCCTTCCACCCCACTCTCCTTTCTTTCCTCCTTCTCTCCTCCCTCCCTTATTTCCTTCCTTTTTTCCATGTATTCTTCGTATGCTTTGTAGGAAACAATGTACCGTCATTCTTTTTGCCCTATGAGAAAAACTGGAAACAAACAAAACACAGAGTTTGGGGAAAATCCAACATTAATCCATACTATAATGAATATAGAATTTGATGTTATGAAAATCCAGTATTTTCTTTATTTTTCTAAGTCACACATTTTCCCCCTCTGCTTCCAATGATATAACAGTTAGTGGAAGAGATAGGAAGTGCTTTGAAAACCTCAAATGACAGCTATGCAAATATAAGAGAAAAATTTACTAATTAGTTGATATTGATTTAAATAATAACATTACTTTAGAACAAGGATTCTATATAAAAGTTTGAAAAATTAAAGACAATTTTTGTAGTATTCTCAATATGTAAAATTATATATTTATGTATGTATGTATTTATTTTAGGCTTTTAAAACCAAGGATGGATATCTCGTAGTTGGAGCAGGAAATAACCAACAGTTTGCTACTGTGTGCAAGGTAATCTATAATATTTGGGATGGGTGGATAATATATGCAACAACTCATTTTGCACAAAGCCAGGAAAATTCAGTTTTGCCTAGAGCAATGTTGCTAAGTCTATACTCAAGACTCCCTGTGTTAGCACCTAAAAGTATGCTTTTTCTATGCTTACAAATCCTAAGGATAGGGTCTAAATTAGCACTCTGGTTTTGTAAAATTGATGCATCTGGCTGTATTTTTAAATGAAGAATCATAGTAGCTTAAATTATGCTAAAAATTGACCTGTCTACTAGTCCAAACAAAAAGGGAAAAGTCATTTTAAAGGGATTTTTAATGCCAGGATCTTTTTCCTGAGAAAAAGAAAGGAACAGAGGAACTAGCAAATAATCAGAATACAATTAACAAAATGGCAATAAGTACATACCTATCAATAATTACTATAAATGTAAATGGACTAAATTCACCATTCAAAAGACATGGAGTAGATGAATAGATAAAAACACAAGACGCATATGTATGCTGCCTACAGGAGACTCACTTCAGATGTAAGGACACACACAGACTGAAAGTGGATGTATGTAAAAAGTATTTCATACAAATGGAAACCAAAACAAAGCTCTGGTAGCAATACTTATATCCAACAAAATAGACTTTTGTGATAAGAGACAAAGAAGGGCATTGCATACTGATAAAGGGGTCAGTCCAACAAGAGTATATAACATTTGTAAATATTTACGCACCCAGCATAGGAACACGTAAATATAGAAAGCAAATATTAACAGAGCTAAAGGAAGAATTAGACATCAATACAATAATAGTATGGGACTTTACTACCCCACTTACATGAATGGATAGATCATCCAGACAGGTAATTAATAAGGAAACATTGGTCTTAAGTTAGACCAGATGGACTAAACAGATATATAAAAACAGTCCATCCAAAAGCAACAGAATACACATTCTTTCTCAAGTGCCCATGGAGCATACTCCAGGATAAATCATATGTCAGGCCACAAAACAAGTCTTAATAAATTTAAGAATATTGAAATCATATCAAGCATCCTTTCTGACCACAATGGTATGAAACTAGAAACGAATTACAAGAAAAAACTGGAAAATCACAAATGTGTGGAGATTAAACAACATGCAACTATAAAAATGACTGGATCAATGCAGAAATTAAAAGAAATTTAAAAAATACTTTGAGACAAATGAAAATGGAAATACAACATACCAAAACTTATGGGTTGCAGTAAAAGCAGTTGTAAGAGGGAAGTTCATAGCGATAGATGGCTACCTCAAGAAACAAGAAAAATCTCAAATAAACAACCTATATTTCCACCTCAAGGAACTAGAGAAAGAAGAACAAACAAAGCCCAAAGTTAGTAGAAGGAAGGAAATAACAAAGATCAGAGAGGAAATAAATGAAATAGAGACTAAGAAGACAATAGAAAAGATCAGTGAAACTGAGAGCTGGTTCTTTGAAAGGTAAACAAAATTAACAAACCTTTAGCTAGGTTCAAAAAAAAAAAATCAGAAATGAAAGAGGAGGTGTCATAATTGATACCACAGAAATACAAAGGATTGCAAGGGACTATTATGGACAATTATATGCCAACAAAGTGGACAACCTAGAAGAAATGAATAAATTCCTAGAAGTGTACAACCTTCCAAGACTGAATTATGAAGAAATAGAAAATCTGAAGAGACTGATTACTAGTAAGGAGATTGAATTAGTAATCAGAAACCTCCTAACAAACAAAAGTATAGGACCAGATTGGTAAATTCTGCCAAACATTCAAAGAAGAATTAGTGCCAGTTGTTCTCAAACTCTTCCAAAAATAGAAGAGGAGGGAACACTTCCAGATTTATATTACAAGGTCAGCATTACTGTGATACCAAACCAGCAAGGACACCACAAGAAAAGAAAACTACAGGCCAATGTCCCTAATGAGCACAGAGGTAAAAATTCTCAACAAAATATTAGCAAACTTAATTCAACAATACATTAAAAGGATCTTACATCATCATCAAGTGGGGTTTATTTCTGGGAGGCAAGGATGTTTCAACACACACAAATCAATCAATGTGATATATCATACTATTAGAATGAAAGAAAGGAATCATGATCATCTCACTAGGCATAGAAAAAGTATTTGACAAAATTCGACATTCATAATAAAAAACTCTTAGATTAAGTATAGAAGGAACATATTTCAACATAATAAAGGCCATATATGACAGGCCTACAGCTAACATCATGTTCCGTGGTGAAAGGTTGAAAGCTTTTCCTCTAAGATCAGGAACAAGACAAGGATGCCCACTCTCACCAAAGTTATTCAACATAGAATTGGAAGTCCTAGCTAGAGCAATCGGGCAAGGAAAAGAAAGAAAAGTTATCAGAATTGGGAAGGAAGAAGTAAAATTACTTTTACTTGCAGATTACATGACTTTATAGTTAGAAAATCCTAAAGATTCCACCAAAAATCTATTGGAACAGTAAATGAATTCAGCAAAGTTGCATGGTATAAAAATCAATATACAAAAATCTATTGTGTTTCTGTACACTAATAACAAACTATAAGAAATGGAAATTAAGAAAACAACCTCACAATTGCACCAAAAAGAATAAAATACCCAGGGATAAATTTAGCCATGGAAGTGAGAGACCCATACACTGAAAATTGTAAGACATTGATGAAAGAAATTAAAGAAGACACAAATAAATGAAAAGATACTATGAAAAGATATTCTGTCCTCGTGGTTTGGAAGAATTAATACTGTTAAAATGTCAGTACTATTAAAAGCCATCTATAGATTCTGTGCAATCACTATCAAAATTCCAGTGGCATTTTTTACAGAAATAGAGCAATTATAAAATTTATATGGAACCACAAAAGACCCTAAATAGCCAAAGTAATCTTGAGAGAGAAGAACAAGGAAGAACAGGGAGAAGGCATCATGTGCCTGGATTTCAAACTATATTACAAAGCTATAGTAATCAAAACAGTATGGCATTAGCATAAAAACAGACACACAGATCAATGGGACAGAATAGAGAGCCAAAACTAAATTCACTCATATGTGGTCAGTTAATTTATGACAAAGGAGCCAAGAATATACAATGGGGAAAGGACAATCTCTTCTATAAATAGTGGTGGGAAATGGACAGTTATACGCAAATGAATTAAACAAATGAATTAAAAATTAAAGGACCACTATCTTACATCACATACAAAAATTAACTCAAAATAGAACAAAGGCTTCAGTATAAGACCTGAAACCATAAAACCCTTAGACGAAAACATAGGTGGTAAGCTTCTTGACATCAGTCTTGGTGAACATTTATTGGCAAAAGCAAAGGCAACAAAAGCAAAAATAAACAAGTGGGACTACATCAAAGTAAAAAGATTCTGCACAGCAAAGGAAATCATTGACAAAATGAAAAGGCAACCTACTGGATGGCAGAAAATATTTGTAAATCATATATCTGATTATAGGTTAATACCCAAAATAGGTAAAGAATTCATACAACTCAATAGCAAAAACCCACACAATCCAATTAAAAAATGGGCAGAAGTTCTGAATAGACAGTTTTCCAAAGAAGACATATAGATGGCTAATAGGTACATGAAAGATGCTCAGTGGGAGAGTGATAATAAATAAATAAACAAAACTCCAAAATGATCCATGGTAAGTGCCATGCAGAGAATTAAAATAGGCTACTGTGTTAAAATAGTGGCTGGATTGTCAGGGGAAAGTCTCTCTGAAGGAATAACATTAAGATGAGATCTGAGTGATATTCATAAAGCAATAGCGATGTTTTTTCAATATAAATATTAGCATAAAATGTTTGCCATGCTAATATAAATATAGTACTCAAAATTCACAAAAAAGCCTGGAAGTATTCCATAATGCTAATACAGACCATATTTGGGTGGTAGGATAGAAGTGGGTTTTTCTTTCTACTTCTATGAAGTGGTAAAATACAAAAATATATTTAGGCTTTGTCCCCGATTTCTTACACAGAGTTCCTAAAACCCTCAAAATTTCCTGAATGATGGAAGTGTTTTTTGTTATTCACAACAAGCTCCTTTCAATCACACCTGAGTTTATGCTACTGAGGTGACTTAGGGTGGGGTCTCTAGATAGCCCCAGGATGGGTTGGTCACCAGGAAGACCAAGTGATTAGAGGGTTAGAAATTTTAGCCCCACCTACCAACCTCCAGTAAGGGGAGAGGGGACTGGAGACTGAGCTCTATGAAAACCTTTGAACTATAAGATTCAGAGAGCTTCTGGTGAAGACAGCAAGGTGATGGGAGGGTAGTGGAGCATGGAAGCTCTGCACCCTCCCACCTCATACCTTGCCCTGTGCATCTCTTCCATTTGGCTATTCCTGAGTTGTATCCTTTATAATAAACCAATAGTAGTAAGTTAAAAAAAAAAAAAAAGGTGCTCAACATCTCAAATCATCAGGGAAATGCAAATAAAAACCACAGTGAGATCTCACCTCACACATGTCCAGAATGGCTATTATGAAAAAGACAAGAAACAACAAATGTTGGTGAGGATGTGGAGAAAAGGGAACCCTTGTGCACTGTGGGTGGGATTGTAAATTGGTGTAGCCCCTGTGGAAAACAATATAGAGATTCCTCAAAAACTTAAAAATAGAACTACCATACAATTCAGCAATTCCACTTAAAGGTATATATATCTGAAGAAAATGAAAACACTTAACTTGAAAAGATATATGCACTCCTATGCTCACTGCAGCATTACGTATAATAGCCAAGATATGGAAGGAAAAAGGTTTTTTTCTCTTCTTTCTTTTTCATCTTCTTTTTCAAACCCCACAAGATATAATTAGGCCCAAATATAGTTATTCTACTACCAAATTTATTTACTTACCACTAGAAAATTAATTTTTTTCTTCAAATTAGTCTTTGTTTAATGAGTACCTTTCTGCAAAATTCATGTTTTAAGTTTTTAGCAATTGTCATGTTAAAAATATTGTTCCT